GGCTGCCTTGCTTTCTTTGTATGTATCTCTAATTATTTTACAAGTTTGATGTGTATAATGTACTTTCAGCATATCTTCTATATATATCTTGTATATAATGATATATTAGTTTATTTATGTATTTATATGTCTCTATAAAATGACTATACATTCAGTATGAATTGCTCTCACATGCCCACGGTGGACACATGTTAATATGCCCACTGCTTATGTGTCATTCACACATTGGTGATGTATTTTTTGTAACGTATTAACATCACCAATGTGTGCATGCCACATAAGCGGTGGACATATTAACATTTGCCCACCGTGAGCATGTGAGCATTTCCGTATTCAGTATATCTTTTGTATATAATCTGTTTTTGTTCTCATTTTTTCCGGTGCGACAAATCATGACACACATATACATAGTATATATTTTAAATATACACTCGAGTTTTAATCGTTTCTCAAAATCGATTTTAGAACCTACATATATATAAAATATACATAAGATATATACACTCGAGAATCTCCAAGATTAGTGATTTTAGGAGAAGTGGAATCTGAATTCCTTTGGTAACTGATTTTTTACTTCACCACAATTAATTGCAATTCAATTGGTATTAATACAAATAAAAGTCTCTCATGTTGTATATATGATACCTCCCCTCCTTTTGATAAAAGAGAGGGTCTTTAAATTTATGTGGTAAAGAAAAAAAATTTCCTAGGAAGCGATTGTATTGTGCAGTAAAAAAACAAATCAAAACTTAAATTTAACTCAACTTTAACTCAACTCCACTATCTCTACTACTATCAATATAATTAAATAATATCAACCAATCATTTTTACACATCACATCAACTTTAATTCACTATCCATCTACTTACATAATTTTAACTAATTATCATTTCCAATCATTTTTTCCTACTTTTACATTAAATCAACTTTAATTATTTTTATTGTAAATATTATTTTAATATATCCACTAACAACTAACCATACTACATTTTTTCAAACTTAACTATAGTTAAAAAATAACTAATTTTTTACTAGTTGAATTCATATCCAATCACCCCCTAATATTTAAATTTGGGAGATTTTGAATTAAACTTGCTTGTGATTTACTATCAGGCCCAACAAGACCAACTGTTACGCTAAGCCCAAACCACAATACAACTGCGTCACGATGTCATTTTTATTGCTATCGACAAGAAATATTTGGAAAGTGAAAAACGAATGACCCAAAGCCCAAAATAGAATTTCCCAATTTCCCATTCGAAAAACATATATAACGAAGGAAAGGGAAAACTCGAAGGAGCGAAAGCTAGGGTTTCAACCACAATCAACAAAAAAATTCCAAATCAACACCGCAGTTTGGATCCTCTTCGCAGCCCTCACTTCCATCGTCGCCAGCAATTAGATATCCATAGCTAGCTAGCTATCAGGTTAGGTAACATGCTATTGTCAGGTTCAGGTCTCTGTCTAGGGTTTACCCTCGAAAAAGGTATTGAAAAAGGGGTGTGTGAATGGAGGAATAATGTATTTAATTTGCAGGTGTTTTGTTTATCTCTCTTTGTATAGGTAGGAATTTAGAACAGAATTTCTGGAAATGGATTACGGTGTGCCGGAGCAAAACGCTGCTGCGTACGGCGAGGATGAGCCGCAGTATGAAGGGCAGTATGAAGCAGACGAGGGAAACTACAATTCAGTTGATAACGTAGATGGTAGTTCAGGCTTAAAGCACGATTCTTCTTCGTCTGCAGGGTTAGTTGTGTTAAGTTTAGCTTGTGTCGGTAGGGTCCATGTTAGATTTGAAATGCCTTGTTTTAGTTTGGGAACGAGGGTTTGGGTTTGATCCTCAAGAAAATAGAGGGGGTGTGTAAAAAAATGTAGTAACTGTTGGTTTCTGGTTTTTTTGTTGTGATAGAAAACTTTTCGTCGGAGGCATTGCTTGGGAGACTTCAGAAGGTAATGCATTGTACTTTCCTTTGTTTCTTTCTTGCTTGTCCACTGCCCGTTTGAGATGTTTGTGAGATAATTTGAATATGTCTTCTCTTTTTTCATAGTGACATTTTACTTCAGCCATGGGAATTTGTAATATATTTTAAGATATGTGTTTTATGATTGGTGAATATGTTTGTGCTGTAGCTGCTTATGTATTTTATTTGGACTATGACTTTTCCTAGATATACTGGTGTTTAGAATTAGGGAATGAGACAACTATGCTTTTTTGAGTGTCCCAGTTCTTTCACAGTGAATTTTATAGTTGGGGCTGTCAGTCTTGGTAAGTTGGAGGAAGCAATTTGCAGGTTTGTCTAATCAAGGCATGATTTGGAGTCGAGGATTTCAATGGATGCAGTATTACATGGATTAGGTTGCTAAATGAGTGAAGAAATAGCTCAAAATGTTTTGATAATCTTGGAAGCCACCAATATTTGAGTTAATCCAAAAGTTCTTTTAATCTGTAACTATAGACATGAAACATACCATCCAGGCCAAATATGTGAGCTTGTCTATTAATTATTAATATATATGCATAGGACACAATCGAACCATGAATTAGAAATAGATGATTGTAATCCTTTTCTATTTATTCTTCAATGTAACATATGTAGAGCACCTGATTATTACTGCCTTACTTTGTGGTTAAAATGGAACTTTGCCATTGTTTAAACTTGAATATAATTTTACCTGCCACTGACATGTAATAACATGACATATAGTATTTAATGCTGTTTGACAATGTCATTAACGTTCTTTTAATTGTATATGTATAATCAGACATCATTTCAAGTGGTATATCAGGAGATTAAATTAATCTTATATACTTTTGGCACCATCCATTGCAGAGTCGTTCTGCAGGTACTTCAGGAAGTATGGTGAAATTACAGATTCTGTCATTATGATGGATAAAATCACTGGAAGACCACGAGGTTTTGGATTCATAACATTTGCCGATCCTGAAGTTGCTGATAGGGTTCTACATGAAGAACATGTCATAGATGGCAGAACGGTAGGAAATCTTTGACACTCTTACCATTATCGTGTTAATTTCTGTATATTTTCTTCTTATGAAAAAGCATTTAAACTTTCATCGCATATCATCATGTCAGTTGACCTTTTTCTTACTTACAAATCAGGTAGAAGTGAAGAGAACAGTTCCCAGAGAGGAGGGTAGGGGAGGAGTGGCAAAGACAAAGAAAATCTTTGTGGGTGGTCTTCCATTATCACTAAATGAAGGTTAGCCTTTTCACTGAAGTTATCCATCGTTATACATTTTTTGTCGATCTAATACTTTTATAATCATTTCATAACAGATGATCTGAGGCAGTATTTCTCTTCATATGGAAACATCGCGGACCTCCAAATTATGCTCGATCACACAACTGGTCGATCGAGGGGCTTTGGGTTTGTAACTTTTGAGACTGAAGATGCTGTTGACAAGATATTCTCTGACGGTCACATGCATGAAATTGGTGGAAAGCATGTAAGTCTTGTAGACAAATCCCCAACATACTTTTTTGACCCAAAACTCACAATAAGGTGATCTAATCACAAATTGTGAAATCTACAGGTTGAGATAAAGAGGGCCGAGCCTAAGAGATCTGGCTTTGACAATTCATTCGACAATCGCCTTCACCGTGGGGGAAACACTTCGAAATACTCTGGCAATTTTGCTCGCGGCCCCGAAAGCTTTGGCGGTGGATATGGCGGCAAGACGGGCAGAGGCTATGGCAGTGGTTATGGCAGTTATGGTAATTACGGTGGTTATGGCAACTTTGCCGGAGATTATCCCGGTGGAGCCGCCGGATTTTATGGCGGCGGGTATGGCGGTGGGTATGGATATGGATATGGATATGGTGGTGGGCCGATGTATGGTGGTGGTGGTGGTGGTGGTTATGGAGGTGGTGGGTTTGCGGGCCCCACTGGCTATGGTGGTGCAGCTGCTGGTTATGGTGTAGGTGGTAAAGGGTTTGGTGGGCCTGGTGGTGGATATGATGGCGGGAGAGGGTTCGGAGCCGGTGCCGGAGGTCCTGCCGGAGGCTATGGTCCGGCAAGAGGGTATGGTGGTGGTTTTGCTGGAGGTTATGGCGATGGATATTCCGGTAAAGGGTATGGGAATGGTAATGGGGCAAACGGCAGGTTTCATCCATACCGGAAGTGAAATTTTATTGTTTGATGTGGACCTGTAGACATTTTAGGAGTTTGTTGTTTTTATTGTGATTGAGAAGAAAAAGATTGCCTTTCTTGACTATTTTGGGTATTTTATATTTTAACTGTGATGTGTAGCCACTTATAGGTGGCTGTGAGACTTTTGACAGTGGGTGCAGATTGAACTGGAACTCGGCTATTGGGATGTTTTATGATAATATGATGCTTAACATCTTTTGATATGTTGTGGCTTGTGGTGTTTTGATCTGTCTTTGAGAAGGGTATTATGATCTGTCTTTAAGAAATTTGCTCTTTGTGAAGTTTGATTGGTGTGCTGTACCCATTTGTATTAGGCATCTT